TAGTGATACTGCCTCGGAAACCCAAGGAGGGGTCGCTATGAGCTGAGTCCGACTCGACGGCACATAACAACAACTGGAGTACAAATACAAGTTCTTTACACATCTAAAAATATCTAGCTATTCACATCCCATACCTCCTGTGATTGCTGTACTAAGGGAAAAACACATAGACCTCAAAGGAAAAAGTAAGCTTTATTTCCTTATAATACTTTTATAGTATTACAATTCTTACAATATTTTGTTTTCTTACAAAAGTCTTATAATACACTTTCATTCCTACATCCTAAGGCTCTCCTTTGCATTAGCTTTTGTGAAAATGCAGTGGGGTTTCTGTGTAAAATGATGGAAAGATTGGCAATAGATATTGGTGATGGCTGCACAATATGATTGATATAATTTTGTCACTGAATTGCACAAATAAATTATGAATTGACAAATGTGTTGTCTGTATTTTTAAAATAATTAAAATAAAACAAGCCATTTGAGGATGATCACAATGTCCATTCTAATCATGTGGGTCCACAGGGGACACATGTCTGGCACTGATGGGAGAGAGCTCCTGAAAATCTTTGTGGGAATGCAACATTTGAAAAATATTCCAAGATGGCTTACAGGAAGTATTTTCTGTGTGATTCCATTTGATAATAACAACTTTCAGATATTAACAATGTGTTATAAATTCTAGCAAAAGTTCATTTATTCTAATTAATTGACAAGTCCTCTCTAAAGGGAAAATCTTATTTTTAAAAATTATTTTGTGTCATATCAGGAACAATATCACAAATGGAATAAACTTAGATCTTCTTTACAACTTTAAACATGAAAAAAAAAACACACACACAATTGCCATTGAGTCAATTCTGACTCAAGGAGATCCTGTATGTTTCAGAGTAGAACTCTGCTCTATAGGGTTTTCAATGGCTGATTTCTGGAAGTAGATTCCCAGACCTTTCTTCCAAGGTGCCTCTGGGTGGACTAGAACCACCAATCTTTCAATCAGTAGCAAAGTGCTTAACTGTTACTTCCACCCAGGGATTCCTACTTTACACAGTAATTTGCACACAAACAAAGGTTGTCTCCATGTGGTTCACAATACCACTCACTCTACACTCACATACCCCTCTGCCAATGGCACATTTTGCCACAGTTCAATCATTGGTTTTGTTTCTTTCTTTGTTTCAGGGCCTCAAGGGTATTCATTCAACAACTGTAGGAGACTCTGTCTTAACTGATCTCCTTTGAATAATACTCCTGACTCAGTTTCACCAGAGGTCAACAGGTGTTTCTTGAAAGTTAAAATGACAAATTCTCATCTTCATGAAATCTGGCATTTACTCTGTCCAAGTAAATTTATACTTCTGAACAACTATAATCAATTCACATTGTAATGATTCATTCATTCCTTAACCCATTAAACATCAAGCATGAGTTGAGTTCCTACTATAAGGCAGGCATAACCACAGGGAATTATGATATAAATAAGACACACTCCTTCAAGTGTGGATTCAAACACTGGCTGCACTTGAACCTCAAACCTTTTGTTAGCAGCCAAGCACATTAACCAAACACACACCACCCTACTAATTAAGCTGAATTGAACTATATCCTTCTTTTAGGTAGTAGAAATGAGAAATAATAGTAAAAAGAAATGAGAAACAATAAAAAAAAAAAAAAAAAAAAAAAAAAACCCCACTGCTGTTGAGTCGATTCGACTCATAGAGACCGCTCCTTGGGTTTCCAAGGTGGTATCTTTACAGAAGTAGATTGCCCAATCTTCCTTCCAAGGAGTGGCTGGTGGGTTTGAACTGCCAGCCCTCTGGTCAGCAGTCAAGTGCCTTAGGCACTACACTACCAGAGCTCCCAATGAGAAACAACAGAGATAAAAATAATACATTGTATCTATATTACATTGTATAGTTCCTACAGGACTCCATTCATCTACTTACTCATTCATTCAAGTAATATTTCTTTAATGCTCACTAAGTGTCAGGTGGAGTCCCTGAGTGGTGCTAACAGTTAACACTTAGTTGCTGACCAAAAAGTTGGTGGTTAAAATCCACACAGCTGTGCCTCAGAAGACAGACCTGGTGCTGTAATTCCAGAAATTCAGTCATCAAAACCCTAAGGAGCTGAGTTCTACTCTGACACATAAGGACTCACCATGAGTGGGAGCTGATTCAATGGCAAGTGGTTGGTTTTAAGTGTCAGGTACTACGCTGAAGAGTGCTATACTAGACAGATTTAGGAATCAAATAACTATCTGCAAATATTTGAAAAATTAGAAAAATATTTATGCAACTGCAGAAGGTAGATTTAGTATTCACAGATAAAAGTTAGTCATCAACATTTCTGCTGATTGTGATGAAAATTTTCTATCAAGTGAGCTGTGCACCAGAACCATCTTATGCTTAAACTGGTTCTTCCTATATCCTCCCAATTTTCACCTGAACAATTCCAACACAGCCTGCAGTTATTAACCAAAATATAACTTCTCTTGAGAAGTCCTCCTTGAGCTCCCAAACTAGATTATTTACTGCTGACATCTTTTTAAAGGATCCTAAGTTCACCCTGTCACACTTACCACTAATTCTAACTCTAATTACTTATATAACATCTGTTCTGTTGGTCTCCCCTATTAGACTATAAACTTTATGAAGTCAGGTGCCAGATCTGTCCTGTTCACATTTGAAAAATCTAACCCCAGGATAGTGCCTAGTATGTAATATTTGGTTTAGTTACTGCTCTGAATGAATAAATGGATGGATTATACTGAGAAAGATGCTTATTTTGAAAGGCAGGACCAGAGAACTTCCATGGTGTCTTCCAATTCTGTGATTTCTTTGTAACAGATTTTAATAAGACTTTTTTTTTTTTTTTTTTCTTAAGATATCCACAACTTTCATGCATTGAGCTATACACATTAAAATTTAAAATGTTGTCTAACCTTTCCAGGCAATTTGTGCAGAGTGTGAGATTCATTATATAAGATTACATATGTCATTTATATGCTTATAATGACTGTAAAAATAATAAAAATATTATAACATGTCTTTTTCTAACCTTCAGTACTATGCATGATTAGATTCAAAAGATGCCCAAGGAACAAAAGCAGGAGAGTTTCTCTAATTAGGGACAAAGTAAAATAACTGCACTATACACAATGTATTTTCCAGACACTAAGATCCAATCATTTCTTACCTCTATGTATCTGTAAGGTTTTCATATAAGTTAACTAAGAAAATATATATCTTAAATAGGTTACCTCTCCCACCTTTTGAATGACTCACTCACTAACTACACTGTCACACAACAACCTAAAATTCAGAACATCTGAATATCTGCCCCTCAAGCATGCTTCCCATTTCCTGAGAGACCCAGGAAATATTCTCCCATGATGAAGGCTAGGGATCCAATCAGGAACAAAGTCTCTTCCCTCCAGTTTTAAGACTATTTGAGAAAAGGAGATGTACGTGTTGGGTGATTTTGCTGTGGTTTTAAGACACAATGCTACTACCTCTTAAAACTAAACCAATTATTTTGGAATAAAATGAACAAAAGATTACTTAATCCCTATAAATGACTTTATTTACATTATGGCTAGCATAACTGAAAGTCCTGTTGCCTGCCAACTTGTTTTAAAATACAGGATAAGTATATACGATCAAACAT